TTAGGATTATGACATACTTAAACCTCCTGTTGTAATAGGGCCTGCCATGCCAAAGAAAGAGAGATCTCATCTCTGGAATTGATCGGTGATGTAGTGTTGTATGCCTTGCATAATTCTATCTGCTCCAGCCATTTGAGATGGTCTAAATATGAGGTGGTGGTGATTAATTTAGCATTTGAAAAGTCCGCAGTTATTTCTGGATCAGACGCGTAAGTTGATAAGGAAGTGGTACATTTATTTTGCTGGATGTCACGCATATGTTCTTTCAATCTGATCCCAACAGCTCGTTTTGTTGAGCCTATGTAAATTAAATCCTTTCTAAAACGATGATCCCTGAGTGGCACTTTGTATACCCCCGGCATTCTTTCTTCCTTAGATTTGTCTTTTCCATTACGTAGAATACCAAATATGGTTGGGCATCTTCTGAAGGTTAGGGAAATACCTTTCTGCCGTGCGATTCTATTATGTATTGATTTCAACAGTGGGTTGTAAGTAACTGACATCCTCGGTTTATCCTCCTTTTGGTTAGCACCTATTGAATTAATTCTTTTAGAAGGAGACATCGTTTCTCCGAACCGTTGCGACATTTTTTGTATGATGTTATGGTATCCGTGTTGTTTGGCCACTTCGTATAGGTATTGTATTTCCTGTTCTAAGGCCTCTTGAGTGGAAGAGTGTGTGTGAGCCCTTTTAACTAGAGCCCTGAATGCCGCCATCTTGTATTGCACAGGGTCACATGAGTCTGCCGGGATATAAGTTGGAATGTCTGATGGTTTGCGGTACACGGAGGTGTGTATGATCGGTCCTCCAAAGTCAATATTCAAATCCAGAAAATGCACCGATGAGTCGCTGTGTTGTTCGACCTCCAGGGTAAGACCATATGGATTGTTATTCATTTGATCCACGAATTGGGTGATGTTCGGAGAGTCTCTCCAGAGAACAATGATGTCGTCAACGTAACGTTTATAAATTATGATGTTTTGGAGGAAGTTCGGAAGTATTTTTCTCTCTAATTCTCTGATTACTAGCTCACATAGATCCCCGGAGACAGTACTGCCCATGGGGACCCCTTTACCTTGCGTGTACGTAAGACCTCCGAACTGAAAGATCGAGCTATAACAAACCAAGTGGGACAACTCTAACACTTGTTGGTGGAATTCTTCATTGCCTACTATTGTAAACAGTAA